GTTTACCAAAATTCCATCTTGACTCTGTTGTATGTTCAGCCTTGACCTTGTAGTATTTTCAGCCTATGCACTGTTTTGTGCTAACAGTTAGCCTGCTTTTGCTGAGCAGTTGGGAAGATGGGCTTCTTACTGATACGTAATCTAACCCTCTCACCTTCACCCTTCCTTCCATTCTGCCTTTGGACCATACACAAAGGCTTGCTATTATGCCACCTAAGGGCAGATAGATTGTAGTGTGGTTTTAGCCTGAGTGCTGGAGTCAGCTTTCCTGGGATTGCATCAGAACTCTGCCTCTTTGAAAAGGTTGGACATATAGTCTTCTAGATATTTTTCAAGCATGAATGGTTTGAAGTTAAAGTTTGCTTAGACTGCTTTTTATTTTTGCACCCTAACTTTCACAGTTGTGCATTATAAATTATTTTTAGTTATTCTCAAAGCATTATCTATTTTTGACTTAAAAAGACCTAAGTATTTGGTTTGAGTTCCTTTCTGGTTTGTACTTGGGTGTCAATACTTCTGTGCGTGTGTGCGCACATGCATTTATATATATGTATATATTTTTATATATATTTAAATCTCAGCATGATTCCTAAATTACAGTCTCAGTATTTGTGCTTGTTTTCCACTTTGGAAGGCTCAAAGAAAGCTGTGCTTTCCCCTCTCCCCAGTATCCTGCCCTTCCCTTCAGTGGTGTCACATATTCAAGCCACAAGAGGAAAGAAAGAAAGCCCGATGCATCCATATCTTGCTGTCTCTTTCTCTATCTTCACATCTGTCTGTCTACCAAGTCTTCCTTGCCCCCGACACACACCCATGTATCTTTCTCTTCCTCTTGTCTGTCTGTCTCTGTATCTGTGTGTTTGTTGGTCTCCCTTTTGCTGGAGTCATTCAAAGTGCCCTACTCATTCAGGGACAAGGGTGTGCTTTCTCTGGGCCTGTTCCACACCCTAGAGAAAGGAGTGCTTTGGAAATTCAACTTTGATTTCTCACCAAACCACAGTGTAGTTATGCTTAGCACCTGGCCACCAGTTTGTCCACTTAATGTAAGGTCCCTAACCCCACCCATAACTTACCCATTTCACTTTTGATCTTGGAACATGCACTGTTCAAAATCTTATGAAAAATAAAGGCCCACAGTGAAAACAGTGAGAAGAATCCAACTCAACTATAACTGAATTAGGTTTTTCCTCTTTGCTTTCTCATAAAGGGAAAACCAGATGCTGCCTTTCCAGAGGATAAGTTACCAGACTGTGATGTGAAGGAACAACTCACTTCAGCAACATGAGAAGGATTTGAGCTGGCACTTTGCAGCCAGAATCTTAGAGAGCGAGCAAGCGAGCGCAAGCGCGTGCCTGTTTCAAGTTTTAGTGAATGAAAGAATTTCACATGATACATTGTCATTCTCCGTTTTTAAATAGCTTTTACTGTTGAATAGAAAATACAATTTTTTGGAAATGTTATTTATATATCAGCTGACTTTTAATGTTAGGAAGCTTTGAATCTCGATTTTGTAGTGCAAAATCCCATTTCAGGAATTAATAAACAAGAAAAGAATTAACTAAGAAAACATTAACTGAAGAAAATGGGGAGAGTGGACTATGATAGGAATAGAAAGTTGAAAGGACAAGCTTGGCATTACGATCAGTTATGCTATAACACAACACACGTTCCTTAAAAAGTACTACACTATGCAGAATTCTGCACTAAAAACCACATCAGACTCACTGATAAAATTGGGTTATGGACACAACACTCAAAAATTAATTCAGTGAGCCCTGGCTGGGTGAATTGGTTGGAGTGGTGTCCCATACACCAAAAGGTTCCATACTGGTCAGGGCACATGTGGGAGGCAACCAATCGATGTTTCTCTCTCACATTGATGTCTCTCTCTCCCCCCCCCCCACCCCCTCAAGTCAATAAGCATATCCTCTGGTGAGGGTGTAAAGGGAAAGGAAAAAAAAAAACTTCAGTGACACACAGAAAAAAATAGGAACCTAACAAAAAATAGGAATACAGCTTTAACATAGATTAAATGGTTAAAAAATACATAAATACTAGAATAAATATGGCAGTTTACCTTGAAAATGACCTGACATTTACTTCTAGAAGTAGGTGTTGGGAGGATTGCAAGCTTGTGAGCTGTTGTGTGCTGGTGAGAGGACGGTGCTCTGCAATCAGTGGGTGGTTGTAGCACTAGATGTAGATGAATGTGACTCCTCACATCCATGGTGACCAGTGGATGTGAGGAAAATTTTATGTTTCCCATGGGGTTCAATTCAGCTGCATATAGGTTTCTGCAGTCATCTAGTGCTTCCGTCACTTGCAAAAGCAAGATTTCATTATGCTCAAATTGTTTTTTTAGTGTATCAGTGACTTTGAAATAAGTTTATGTTCTCAAAACAAGCATTGTAGTAGAACTTATTTAATTAGATGATAATTTTATTTACATCATTTGATATCAAGAGAAAATATATCACATTTACCTGAGACACTTGGCTTGAGAATTCTGATACCCAGAGGATAGAAAGGAGTATTACTTCCTGAGAGTCCAAGGTCTGGTAGGGTTTTTCACCCTTTGCATACCACATTGTATTCCTTTAGTTCACTGCCACTGGGATACACGAGATTCTATATATATAATCTCTGATATATCTATATCTATCTATATCTATATACCAGAAAAATATGTGTAGCAAGCTTACCAGACCTGTTGTTTCATAGATACTAACTACAGTTTTGGAAAACTCTCTCTCAAGTGAGGTATTGTGCCATTTGCTGGGCCATCCGAAAATGGGTTAGGGAGCAGTTTCAGGTTGTCCCTGCCACAGAGGCTGGCACTGCTCTGATGAAAGGATGGAATACTAGGAATTACCTGTACGAAAACTGTCCTGTCCAAAATCCCAATAATGTCCTCATAAGAGACTGGTTAATATTAAACTAAGGAGGAGTAGGGAACAGTAGAGTTGATCATTTAAATTAAAATGTTGAGCACAAAGTAGTATTTTATGTGGCTTTGGTAAGAGCAGTGAAAATAGTTTGCAGTTGATAGAAGTTTGAAAATACTAGTTGAGGACCAGTAGCGGCAGTGAGCTTTAACAAACCCTGAAATATAGTGCCGTGTGCCAAGTAGTGTTCTCAGTGCTATGCAGATGTTGTGGTTAATGGTGTTTGAGGCATTAGCCTGGTCTAAGGCAGGCGCTCAATCTTGGCTGCCCTGGGAGCTTGTATGCGTCTGGATGCCCAGGCCACACCCCAAACCAGTTCAATCACAATCTCTTGAGAGCGGGACTCAGGTATCACTATTTTTTTAAGCTCATTTAGTTATGCCAATATGTAGCCAAGATTGAGAACTTACTGGCCTAGGACCAATTGAAAAATCATTCTTACTCACAGGAAAAGCTGTGTCGATCATGCCAATTTTAATTGAAGGTCTGCACTGTCCCATGCCTTACAAGGGAAGAGGACTAAGTTGTGGCTTAGGGAAGCTTCACCATTCGAGGCAGGCAGCAGAATGGAGACAGGTTTACAGTCCTGGCTGGCAAGTCTTTATGCCTGGAAGGGTATTCAGAGTGCTTGGGATCACAGACGATAGAGAAACTAAATTTAAAAACCTTGGGTGTCAAATTTGGAAAATTATTAAACAAGTTATTTTAAGTTTAATAATTTTATTAAACTTTCTTATGCACAACGTTCTTATCAAGAAAGGGGTGAGGAGCAACTGACCCTCATAAATCACTGTCAATTTAGCCTCTCTAACCTGGTTGTGGCCTTTGTGCAGTCACCTTGGAGAGTTTGAATTTTGACTGTAGATAGCATGATAATTTTATACTGGTGTAGAGCAGGTTCTTAAGTACCTCATAAAGCATTGTTGAGCGGATGTCCTGGGAACAAGTCATCACAGCTCTTTAGAGAGGCTCAAGACTGGCATAGAAAGATCTTTGGAAATAAACCATTTAAGCGATGTGTATAGTCACTGAGTCTGATATGCCTAATTTTTGAAATACTCATGGAGTTTCCATATTGTGATAAGTAAATGTTGGACCACATACATTTTAAAACTTAGAGTTAAGCAAATGTGTCATTTTAAATTACAAGTTTAAATGAAGGCAGGCACTAAGCTACCATCATAAGGTACTTAAGTAGATAATGTTACTAAGTAATTTACCTGTTTCCAATGGTAACATTCTTCAGCTTCTCTTGATTTATTTAATATGGATTACCTTACCCAGAAAACCCGATTCTCCATGGGATAGACTTATTTTCAGTTATACCTGTGTAGCTTCTACTTAAGCATGCATTACTTCCTGGTACAAACACCAGCCACAGCTATCTGTGGTGTTTTTGTCTTGTGCCTTTGGCATCTGCGTGGTGTGAACAGGAGCTATGCCATCTGCAGTTGAGTGAGATGACTAAAAAAGGGGGGAGTGAAATGATTCACTGGAAAATTTCAGCACAGATTCTTAAATAATGATAAGATAACCCTAGAAACATTCTTATTTGGTGTCATATGCTAGTGGGTAGTGACAGAAAAAAAATGAAGGCACAACATGTGTCTTAACATTTTGCTATTTTGAAAATTGGAGAGGTACTTTGCTAGAAAGGAAGAATGAATTCAGTAAGGTGTTAATTAGCAGAGTTCTGCAGATGAATGAATAATTTTTCTCTCTGACTACAAGTTGGAGCCAGTGAGGTTCATGTCCAAAACCCAATATTCTTGGGTTTAGAATGGCTGTTTAATTTCCTAATGGCTATCTATGAATTATAAAGCTCTTTATGCTGAAATGTTTCCTCAGCAAAATGATCAGTTCCTGGAATCCTAAGTAAGTCTGGGGTCTAGATAAGCCATTTGTGAAGGCTGCAGAATTCCATATATGTTTTTACTTAGTGAGGCATCTTTGAATCTAAAATGTGTTGTATTTCAGGGGACTTTTCCAGGATTCCACTGGAGACATTCCTGAAACATGGTGTCTTTTTTTCTTTTTCTTTGTTTTCCTTTTCAGAAAGAAGACATAGCTCATCCAGCAAGCCCTCTTTGGCGGTTCCTCCCACATCAGTATTCTCCTTCTTCCCTTCTCTGTCCAAAAGCAAAGGCAGCAGTGCCGGTGGAAGCAGCCGCTGTGCCAGCGGAGGTGTTCTCAGCACATCCTCATTAAGTTCCAAGCTGTTGAAATCACCCAAAGAGAAATTGCAGCTCAGGGGGAACACCAGGCCAATGCATCCCATTCAGCAGAGTAGAGTCCCCCATGCTAGAATGTGAGTATGGCCAAGAGGATCCTTAATGCTTAACTGGTGCAAGAAGAGCTGTGCATACCAGTCATTTGAGAGTATCTTAGCATCCTGAGGAAGAGAGCCCACTTTGGGGAAAATTTAAATATATGTTGTTCCTTTTTGTTTCCCTATCATATCTTGGACAACTTTACAAAGTAGTAGTTGCATTAATTGTAAGGTGAATAACACATATTTATTGCTCCTTTATTGTGTACCACCTATTGAAGCTTATCTCTGTGCATGTATTGTCATATAATTACCAAGACAACCCTATGAAATAGATATTGTTGTTATCCCCCCTTTTCCAGATAAGAAGACAGTATAGAAAGGTTGAGGAGCTTTCGCTAAGGAACTCTTATTCAAATCCTGGGTTCAAATCCCCACTCTGTCACTTCCTGGCTGTACGGCCTTGGACATGACACTGCTTTTCTTAAAAGTCTAAAAATAACAACCATTATGCAGGATCATTGGGAACAGTAGGATTAATATATTAGAGCCAAGTATCTGGCATAGTGTCTGGCCCACAGGAGAAAGTAAATAAGTAGATGCTGGTGCTTCTGCTGCTGCTGTTGGTAATAGTAGGAATAAAAGGAGAAGAGACTCCCAGATGTTGTACCAAGATTTTCCGGGACCTGCAGAGCAAATAGGGAAGCAGTGCTTCCTCCCCAGTCCTAGGTTCACATCACCGTACTGTGGCAATGAGGGAAGATTGGGAAAGTTTGCACCTGCCAGCCAGGTGAGGCTTCAGCAAGTTTCCACAGTGGACCCGCAGATTGGCAGGCCTCTATGTCACATGAGGGAGCCACCGTGCCCTCCCAAAGAAGCATGTCTTGCCTTTTCTCGGCATCCCTCAGCCTTCCTGGCAGCAGCTTTACCCTGGCCTGCCTCCCTCTGCAGAGTATGCCCCATCTCAGTCCCAGGTCTGAGAATCTGACGAATCTCAGGGCAGCGTTCCCCACCCTCTGCTCCTCAGGGACACTCCAGCTGGGAGCAGCCCTGGCATCTTGCAGTGTCTTTTCTCTGTCAGGCTGTCTCAGGTACAGCTGTTTGGGGCTGTTTGTCCTGGTTGCTAAGCCCCCAGCCTCTGCTCATCTGTCAGAAGTGCAAGGACAGCAATCTTGGCTTTCGTTCCTAGAGCTGTCTGAAAGCCAAAGAAAATGCCAGCACAGCGTGTAAGTCACTTGCCAGCTTAACAGCTGTTAGAGCACTGCCTCTACTGAACAGAGTTTATAAAACCTCATCAATCTAAATCTTACTTGAAGCTGGGCTCTAGAGAGGGACCAGGCCAACTGTTAGCTTTGTACCAACATTTGCCACCCAAGTAATTGTGTCAGTAAGATGCTAAGAGAAATCAGTTCTTTGGTTATGGCACAGGTACTCATTTAGTGCTCCCCAGCTGTGTACCAGGCACCAATATTTCAAGCTTCCATATTAGAAACCTTTTTCAGGGACACAGAATTATCACTTCAGTAACACATCATTTACTAATTAAACATGTTCTTATTCATTAACACAAACAGAGAGCCTCTTTTTGGAGATACCTTGTTAGGTTTATTTGAGTTCTTGTAAGTCCTTAATGACATTTCTTAGAAATACTCTTTAATTCCATGTTATTTTCTTTGCTCACTCAGTTTCCTTTGTTTTGATGGGCCCTTTTTAAAAACAGTTCTCAGAGACATTCTCTACAGGTCCTGCAAATGTTCTTTCATCCTTTTAGACCTTTCCATATTTTGCTGCTTGAAGGAATTACATTGGGTATCAGGTCTATATCTCCTATAGGCTCCTGTGTAAGATCATTCTGGAATGATGAAAGAGCAGATAACTGTAGTGGTTTCTGAAGCTCTTTGCCTCACCAAAAGGGCTTATGGACTGAATAAGTGTGTACTTTCTTGAGTTTTATGGGTAGTCCTAACAAATTTTCATAAGGTGCCTTTGGGAGCCTAGCTCTGTGCAGTGCACAGATAGATCCAGGCTCTCTCCCATCCCTCTGGCTCACTGGGGCCTCATGGCACTTAGGTACTGGTGTTCTCGCTTCCCCTACCACAGCATGACACCCTCTGTTAAAGTGGAGAAGATTCATCCGAAGATGGATGGCACACTACTGAAATCTGCGATGGGGCCAACCTGTCCTGCTACTGTGAGTTCCTCAGTCAAGCCTGGCCTTAACTGCCCCTCAATACCAAAGCCAACCTTGCCTTCACCTGGACAAATTCTGAATGGCAAAGGGCTTCCTGCACCACCCACTCTGGAAAAGAAGTCTGAAGATAATTCTAGTAACAGAAAATTTTTAAATAAGAGATTATCAGGTAACTTTAATTTTCTCTTAGTGCTTCTCTTTTTCTTAATTGGCCATTCTTAGGAGAGCAAAGGTACTGCTATCATTAAGTCTTCTTTTTAAAACTGGTCAACTTCATCTTTAGGAGGAATTTCCTTAAGTAGTATGCTTGACCTTTTCACTGTTGGTTTCAAAGTGCATGGGTATGTGGGTAAGGTAAAAATAGCTTTCAAGTGATGCATTTCTGAATGGAGTAATGCAGTAATGCTGACTTTAACAGTCTATTTCCTGTCACCTAGTAGCAGTAATTCCCACTCTCTTAGTGATGTCACTGCTTATTTTTTAGTACTCACACATTGTTCAGTTTATATTTATTGATAAATGTGGTCAATTTTATTCAAGTTATAATTTGTCTGTTTTTAAGATTTCTCCTCTTTGCTTATTTACAAAATAAGAAAAGGGAGTGTTTGTTGAGCCCTTTGTAATGTCTGTGTGCTTTTGACAGAAAGAGAATTTGATCCTGACATACACTGTGGGGTTATCGATCTCGACACCAAGAAGCCCTGCACCCGGTCTTTGACATGCAAGGTAGGTTGCCTCCTGGACAGAGGTGAATGCCCTGGCAAGCTCAGGGAGCTGGGATAGATGGCATTGCTCCCAAGTCCATAACCCAGAAGGGATCGAATCTGTGGATTGTTCTGAATTTTATAAATGAAGGAATAACTTGGTTTTGATGAGAAAGCCTCACATTTAGAAAACATGAAGTCTGTTGTAAACGGCAATCTTCAGAGAGGTTTTGTTTCCAGCGAGCAGTATTGTATCCAGGGGAATAGTGTTCTTCCTTAATCAATCTGTTGTTTACAAAGATTTTTAATGTTTATTCAGAGAAACTTAATACAAGAGGCAACCCTTTAATGTTTAAATTATCCTGACTTAGAGCAAGTCCAGAAATTTCCTTTGAATATATATGAGCAGTTTTAAAATGTATTTATAATCTGTGATTCTTAAATTTTAAAGAGCCACTTCAATATTTTGTGAATCTTAGATAGCCTTATTATTCTAGGTTTTTTTTGTTTTGTTTTGTTTTGTTTTTTAATATTAGGTGCCTTGGCCAGCATGGCTCAGTTGGTTGGGTGTTGTCCTGCAAACCAGGAGGTCTCCAGTTCAATTCCCATCAGCCCACATGCCTGGGTTTTGGCCTCCATGCTCTCCCCCCGGTTGGGGCACTTACAGAAGGCACCCAGTCAACGTTTCTCACATTGATGTTTCTCTTCCTCTCTTTCTGCCTGCCTTCCCCTCTTTATAAAAAATAAAATAATTTTTTGAAAATATTAGGTAACATACAGTCTAATTTATATGTAAACTAAGAAAATGTAATGATCCTTCTTTCTGTCCTGAGGTTTCCTTTTAAATGGCATTTTTATAACAAGAAGACAAAATGTTCGTTATAAAATAAGGGTTGTTGATGTAGGGTGGCTTCCATGTGTCAGCTCACCTGCTGCATAAATGAACATATGTATGTTTATTTGCATTTCTCTGGAGAGTGTCCCCAACTACCCTTCAGCAAAATTCTAAAAGTATTAAGAATCACTACATTGAAGTATGTACTTTAAAACTCCTTGTTTGAAGGAGGGGTTAAACCTTATAAAAATTAGTCTTTTAAAAGTTAATAAAATTGTTAGGGTATTATTTTAAATTTTACCAAAAATTGTGTTTGAATAAAGGACTTCAGGCTCCACTCCACCCCTAAACAGTGGAGGAATATTATAAATTCCCAGAAATGGGAAATGTAACTTCTTAGTGTTTTCTTTTTTTATTTAAATTTCTGATTTATTACATAGATTTTTATCTTACAACAATGATTCTGATCCTTTGGGGAAAGGGGTTGGTCATGGGCATCTTTAAATGTATCTTAACTTTTTTAAAATCACAAGTCCTCATACCTGAGGAAGAAACGTATGTAAACACATGTATATTCTGAATCTTACATTCTTTTTTTTTTTTTTAAACCCGACTTTTTGACACTTCCACTGAGATGTCCAAAGTTTACCCATCCCAAACTGAACTTTTGATCTCGAATTTTGCATTGTATTTCAGGATTTGTTGGGCATTCCCACTGCAGGCCCACCCCTGAATCTCTAGGTTAAAAACTCTTAGCTCAGAACAAATTTTGTTTTATACAATAATTAAACACGTATACTGGTGTGTAGTTGTTCTTTGAAGACAGCCATTTGAGCTCTGCAGGATTGTGTCCACGTTAGCCGCCCCTAAGGAACTTGTGAAGACGTGCCTTTGCCCTGCTGCACATCATCATCGTAGTTTGCCATCCCCTGTGCTTTCTTCCTGCCTACCTGACTCTCAGTAACACAGGTTTCTCAGTGTTATGATACTTATGGTCAATGATGAATGCTTTCTTTTTCCAGCATCCTTTCTTTTAATCCTCTCTGAGGCATACTGGTGAACCAAAAAGCTCTATCAACTCAGAATCTGCAGGGGTTTGTTTGACGAGCCTTCTTCCTGAACCTTTATTGATGGTGAACTGACATGATGTGGATCCTGCATTTTTCTCCCACCTTCCTTTTGAAATCATGTGTGCCCTCCATGTGTTAAGGGTGTCAGTACTGTCTGTGGTATGGTGCTGATCTTGTCATCACATTAATAGATATCTTCAGCCCTGGCATGTCATGAGTTCAGCATAGAACTGGCATAAATTGCAGCATCTTGGCAGACCTGCCCTTTCATAGAATGTCCTTCCTTTCTTCCTGTGCCCTGTTGGTGCTTCACCCTTTTCTGCCTCTGTGGCCTGAATCTATTCAGCTGTGGTGGGCTAAACATGCTTGAGTGCCTTGCTGAATGTCCCCCACCTTACTGCCCAGGTCTCTCCTGTCATCAACTTAGAACATTGTCCCTTCTCTTTGCTGTCAGGGCATCTGCTTGCTTCGACTCCTATTTCTTGTTCCCCGTTGTCTGCCTGCCATTCTCACTGTCCCCTCCTTGTTTTCCCATCTGCCCAATGTCCTGTGCTATCCATGCAAATAGATTTTGAGTTCACAAGCCAGAGGATACCAGGGTTTAACAAAATCAGGGCATGTCCCCCTAACCTTGTGGGGCTTGCAGTCTAATGAGAGAGGTGGAGATTAATCTGATAATCCACTCAAGTGTCAAGTTACAGATGATGAGTGAAAAATGGAAAGAGGGCTGTGTTATAACAGCCTTCAGTGGATAGGCTGGGCCAGGGAAGCCTCCTTTGCCACAAGAACGGGGGCAGAAATCCACATGATTTATCTGGGCAAAAAGTGGGGGGGGGGGGGGGAGAGAGGAAATACCTTTGGCAATGGGCAGACCTTAGCATCTGAAAGACAACCAGAAGACTGAACAGAAGGAGGAGGCACTTGATACCAAAAGATCAGAGGGCGTGGGTAAGTGGCTCAGAAGCCTAGTTACACAGTCAGTCTTTATCCTGTGAGCTTAGGCAGAGTATTGATAAGGGTTGGGAGCATCAGATTTGTGTTTGGAAGGCTCCTTAGCACCCAGTGGAAATACTATTTACTCTTCAAACCGAGCTGGGAAAATATTAATCATCCCTGACTACTTTTTTCACCTGGCTTTTCTCTGCTAAGCACCAGGGAACATTCAAAGATAAGGAGAGGCTTCTAAATCTGGCTGAAGAGACAGACATGTGTACCAATGATGTTATGTATTCATTTGTTCATTCGACACATGTTGGAGGACCATTATTTTTATATACTTTTTGTTTGAAGCATTGATTGAATGCCAGGTGTTGTCCTAGTTGCCGGTATAACACTGAACAAAATAGTTCCTTGTCTTCATTTAGATTACTATCTTGTAGATATATTACATATTAAAGAAAATTGTCAAAATTTAAAAAGAACCTAAGCACATTTATCTGTCTGTGCCAGATTAGATTCTGGGTGTACACAGTTCGCATTGTGTCTAAGGAGGAGGTAGGTCGTTACTGAATTTCAAAAGAGCAATAGAGGCCTAATTCCTCTTAAACCCCTTAAAGTTTGGCAAACATGTAAACCTGTAGAACAACACATTTGTATAATGAATAGAGCCATGAATGCACATGAAGTATCATTTGCAGTAGTTTGTAACATAAGAGAGAGAAGGAAATATGTGGATGAATTTACTGATATTTCGGATTCACTGTGCTTTTATGTCTCTTGTCCTGTCAGCCTTATAGGACTTTACTCGGCCTTAGCAGTCCCTATCTCTGGGTTGCTTTGAGCCACTCTCTCTCAGTAAATGGCATTTTCATTGCAGTGTAGAGAAACAGTTGTGTTTAGTTTTCATTCTCTGACAGCCACTAAAAGACTTTCTGATACATATTTTGTGGAATAATTGTTTCTTCCCTTTAACATTTAAAACTCTGAATGACACAAAGAGGGATTTTTTCTAATGGAGTTAATAAGAGCCCAGTAAAGGAATTGTTCCTGTTGCACCTGCATGCTTCTACAGTTTTTGCTCAGTGACATACCAGTGGCGCAGCAAATATTCTGTCTTTCTTCTGGCAGAAAAAAATCACCAAACTCTTGTATGTGTGGAACCTGGGATATGTGCCTTTCTTCTAGCTGAAGAAAAAAGATCATACTCATCTTTTTTAGCTTATCATATGTTGAGCAGCCTTTGACTGTGCCCACTATGGTCTAGATTGCTTTTTTATTGGGAATGGTGTTTTTGGATAAATGACAGAAAAAATTATTACTGAGATAACCTCAGTTTCTATATTTTTTTGGTCTGCAGACACATTCCTTAACCCAGCGGAGGGCTGTCCAGGGTAGAAGAAAACGATTTGATGTGTTATTAGCCGAGCACAAAAACAAAACCAGGGAAAAGGAATTGATTCGCCATCCGGACTCTCAGCAACCAACGCAGCCTCTCAGGGACCCGCATCCCGCCCCTCCTAGAACTTCACAGGAGCCACACCCAAACTCTCATGGAGTGATTCCTTCCGAATCAAAGCCTTTTGTAGCTAGTAAACCTAAACCTCAAACCCCCAGTCTTCCAAGGTAAGCCGAGTTTCCCAACTCTTTCCGCATTCAGAGAACAGATTATATACACAGTAAAACCCCAGTGTGGTCATGATGTCAGGCTCACTATGAGAAGATGAGATGTTTTTAAATTGGGGTTTACTCTAAGGAAAAAAAAAATTTTGAGTTCATCGTTGGTCTCTCTTGGCCCAGTGCTAGCAGCAGAATAAAGCTAGAATTATCTGCCCTGCTCCTGCTCAGTGGTCTGTGTCTCTTAAGCCCACTGAGCAGGGCTGACACTTGGGTCCTGCCTGCCCGTTAGTGACTAGAACATTTCCCATGGCTTTGGCAGCAATTTCGCATTCATTTGTCTTGCTTCTTTCAAAGTGCAGCAGTGGCAATCCCTTGCTGGGGACAGACATTCAGCCTGAGTTTATTCAGCATTGATTTATCAACATATTTTTTTCATTCATTCATGTATGACTTTGGCCTAAACATGTATTAGGCATGTTAGCCATGCACTAAGCCATGGATCAGAGTGTTTTATTGCAAACTTACCATACATGTGCCTCAGAGACAGTGCTGGTGGGCTGCATATGTGTATGTCTGTGCTTGTGTACTTAACCAAGTTGAAGTAAAGGACTTTGTACCCAATTTCCTGAGGGAGGGAAAAGAGAAAGGCATAGAAAACAAGGCCTCTAATGTTGGCCGTGGGCAGCAAGGGCTTCTACTTAGGAATGTGCAAACCCGTGTTGCCATTGCCTCACATTTTACACTCACATGTCTGATCCTTGAAATTGTCACGTGAAGGGTGGAAGTGCCTCCTGCATGGAAACCCAAGCGTGAGCTTGAGCCTGTTCCAACATGAACCCTCTCAATTCTGAGCAGCACGGTAAAAGAGCAGTCCAGGAGGCTCTCCAGAGAGTGGCCAGGCCCCGGCATGATTCCTTAGCAAGTCCTTTCTTTGGCCGTTTTCTCATTGAAGTTTTTCCATCTATAAAAAAGTAAGCTTCATTCTAGAACCACTAGGCCTTTGTATACGGAGAATAAAATACATTGCTGTCTCAGATCACTTTTTCACATAAAGTAGTAATGCTGCCTAGTTATTTTATCACCTCCTGTCCCTCTTAGGTTATTGTAGAGCATTTTGTCAGTTAATCTCATCCATTGTTTTAGTAACCCAAAACCAGGTGAAATTTGAAGAAGAATCAAAGAAAGGGTTCTCAAATTTTCCTTCCTTTGGGGAGACCAGGAGGATCTGAGCCCCCAAGTGGCTGTAGAAAGGAGAGTTAGTTATAAGTTCCCTGGGCTAGACCTGGTACACAGCTGCATTTGACATCCTGCAGTTCAGGGGAGAGGATTCTTCACTCCTGGGCCATCTGGCTCAGGTTTGCCCAGTGCTAGAGGTGGTCCCAGATCCCTAGGTGGTTTTGGATACATTGTTGTATCTGAGTTAAGGCAGCTGATTCCCAGACATGTTATCTGATCAGTGCTGCACTTTCTACTCACCAAGGCCTCCAGGCTGCCCTGCTCAGCAAGGTGGGAGTGCCCCCATTGACCCTCCTCCAGTCCATGAATCTCCACACCCTCCCCTGCCTGCCACTGAGCCAGCTTCTCGGTTATCCAGTGAGGAGGGAGAAGGCGATGACAAAGAAGAGTCTGTTGAAAAACTGGACTGTCATTATTCAGGTCATCATCCTCAGCCAGCATCTGTAAGTTCCACACTCCGCATCAACCCTCCCCGTGCAGCAGGGATGAGACACTGCAGGGTGGTGCGCCAGGGGCCTCGGCCTGCCCATATGCGTGGGGCGCGGTCAGGGTATGAGGGCAGCTCAGCACAGGGTGCCCCAGAGGCAGCATGTACTGTGCTTGGGAAATCTCATGCTTTTCCCCTTCTCTCCATGAAACTCAGGGCCAGGCATTGTCACTCTCATGCTTCACAGCCTGTGGTAAATCAGAGCAAGCTGTCTTTCATGATAACTCCATACCTGAAGGACAGAGGGTCCTGCTGGGTGTGCTGCTGTCCGAGTTAGCAAACATGGGCCCCCATGCTCTCTTTTTCAGTTTTGCACATTCGGGAGCCGGCTGATTGGAAGAGGCTATTATGTGTTTGACTCCAGGTGGAACAGGCTTCGCTGTGCTCTCAACCTCATGGTGGAGAAGCATCTGAACGCGCAACTGTGGAAGTGAGTGCCCATCTCACCACCTCTGGGATGGGAGGGGGACTAATGACTCAGCGCTGCATCCTCTTTATTTCTTATGGTACTAATTTCATGAAGATATGTTTCTCTAAGTGAAACTCTGGCTTTTGACTAGCCCTGAGAAAAAGACCCTTATCATGCATTCATTCACTCTTTCAGCAAATATGCCTTGTTCTGGGTGCTGGGATTCCAGGCACAGGCATGAAGCTCACATTCTAGTTGATGGAAAAACAAAAACCAATAAACAGAAACTAGAGATAGATGATAGCTTATCATAAGGGAGATAATAGAAACACTAATTATGAACAGTTACTGAAAGCTTACTATATGCCAGGCAATTTATTAAATATATTTAGTTTTCACAAATCACTTTGTCAGGTGTCTTTGATTTCATCTCCATTTTACAGATAATGAAATTGAGAAACAAAGTCACACAGCATGTTAATGTAGAGCCAGGATTTGGACCCAAAGGTAGTTTGGTTCCAGAAAGCTGACATGGAAGACAGCAGGTCAGAGGGAGTCAGAAAGAGCCTCCTTGCAGAGACATCCATTGATCTTGAACTGAGGTGGATAGATGAGAAAGAACAGCCATGGGATGGTGGGGAAGAGTGGGTTCCAGGCAGAAAGAACCATTTGTGGGAAGGCCTTGAGTCAGAATAGAATGTGGTTTGTTTGAGAAAGCATGAAAGTGAACGTGGTGTAAGACCAGATCCAAGAGGCCAGCAAGGGCCACATGACACTGGCCTGGACTCTTCAGAGTGGTTGTGGCTGCTGAGGGTTTTAGATAGAGGAGCCATTTTCTCTGATATACAATTTAGGGTAAGACAGTTATCTTGTGTGGCATTTTTTTGCTGGTGTTTCCCAAATGGGATTGAAAGTGGAAGAAGAGTTCCATGGTCATCCCTGAAGTAAGATAATCTGTCCATCCTTCCCTCCTTCCTCCCTTCCTTCCCTCCTTCCTCTCAACAAGGGTATGTTTATCGATTTTAGAGAGAAACATGAATATGAGAAACATCAATCACTTGCCTCCCATACACACCCCAGCTGGGGATCAAACCCACAGCCTAGGTATGTGTCCTGACCGGGAATCAAACCTACAACCTTTTGGCGTATGGGACGATGCTCCAACCAACTGAGCTACCTGGCCAGGGCTGTAATTCTTTTCTTGCCGCAGGACTTCTCAGATCCTGTCATGGGCACTTTCCTTGTATTCTTAAAGCAGGAGATATCGTGTATGCTATGTAACATGCCCCAAGCTCTTTTGACCTGGCAACCTCTTTTAGGATAGCATCTTGGGGAACCAGTGTTGGTGGGATACCCACTTGAGGAAACACTGGGCTTTACTAAAGGGAGCTGGCCAGTATGCCATAGGCCAACCCAAGTCCCCATTTGGGCATCATTTGCAAATGCCTCCCTGAATGGACTCTGCCAGAATATCCATTTGCCTCCCTTGATTTCCTAATAAAGTCAAAGGAAGCCAGAGATCTTGGATAGTCCACAATTTAAAGAACCGTCTCCATGATCATTAATAGGACTTGTATTTGTTCACTTAGAAAACCAGAGGCAGAGCAACATTACTGTATTCTTCTCTTCCATATTTCTTTCTGGTTCTTACGAGATAAGAGACTTCCCTTCCTTCTATATGAAGGAACCTTGCCTCTGTCCAGAGACAGACTCAGGGCAGTGCTTTGTAGGGATTATGGGGGTCTCTCCGTGTCAGAACACCCTAAGATACGTGAAATCTCAGCTTATTTCTTCACACTACCTGGTGGGACTTGGAGATCTCCTTGAGCTCACTAACATGTGGGTTATTGTACTCCTGTGGGTTTAGAGGGGTCCTCAGAATGTTTTGTCCTCATTATATTGATAAGTGGTTTATGGCCAGCAGTTTGGGTGAAGGTTTCATTTCCTGGTGGCTTGCGTGGAGAGGTTTTCTTGTTTGTGTTGTGAACTTTGACCAAGCAGGATTATGGCTTGAAGTTCATTCTTTCTCTCTCCCTCCCCACCTTCCACTTTTCCAGCCACCCGCCACAGACAGAAACATTTTTACTAGTTTCTGTATCTTCACAGAGTTCATGTCTGCAAACACAGGCCAACATGACAACATATTCTGTTTATTGTTTATTATCAAAGGTAATGAATGACTTAAAAGAGCTTTTTGCAGAGAAGTCAGTAATGTAGTCCAGAGAGATCCACAACGCATCCCACCCGCCCCAGGCTTTTTTAATTTTCTGGGATGTGGTCCGGCAGCCTGGTCTTTAGGCTCTGACTTTGTCGGCCACCCGGTAGATATGAGAAGCCACTCCATCAAGTGAGCAGGAGCTCCAGTACTTCCTGGAGAGCAGGGCTTCTTCAATGTGCCAGTGCCCACAACTCATCTGGGATCTTGTTGAGACTCAGATCCTGGTGAAGTAGGTCTGGAGTGGGGCCTGGGGACTCAGCATTCCTGATATGCTCTCAGGTGGCATCAGTGATTGTCCTCCGTGAGAGTACAGGGATAGTAGAAACGAGCTTCTCAATCTTGGGCTCACGTTGGAATCTCCTGGAGAGATTTAGAAATTACTAATGTCTGGGCCCCACCCACCAGGGACTCTGCTGTCTGATGCAGCCAAAGTTAAGAAGCACTGACTTAGGGCCAGAGCCACACTCTCGAATGGGAGTTTTAAAGTTGCTGCAAAGACTTGCGTTAATTAACTCCTTTTATTAGTTGCTACAGTTCTTATTTAAAAGCATGTGGAAAGCACTTTGGCAGGAGTCTGGGCCAACCTTCTCATTGGAAAGATGAGGAACTGGAGCCCCAGCTGGCATGATGACTGGCTTGGCCAGGGCTGCCCCAAGAAGTCATGAGCAGAGCAGGCTTGGTGCTGACCTTCTAGTCAGGCCACTTTCAGTTTGGCCACCTCTGAGTTAACTTTGCTGTAGGGGGTTTTGCAGTTTTGGTGCTGTCACATTTTAAAATCAGAACCAAAATGAAAGGGGATGCCCCTGTTTTGACTATTTAAATAGCTCCCCATCCCAAAATAAATACCTTGCCCAGGCATCATTAACAGAATACAATCTTTCAGCACTTTAACTGGAAGTCCCCTGAGATTTGGGGCTTTGTTCCCGTGTCCAGTCATTCAGGTTGATAGGAGCACGCAGTTGTTATTAATTAGCTGTGCCCTTTCTCCTTCCTCACTCACGAATGCAATCAGTGTTCAGGTACCTTCAAGTGTCCCCAGCGCTCTGCTGGGCTCTGCTCTCAATGATGTTGAATAAGCTATGGATTGCTCCTTCTGCAAAGAAGTTAGACAGTGATCAACAGTCATAAAGTAAGACCACTCTGAGTCCTACGGAGTGTGGAAGCAGGGCAGTGTTAGTCCATGGATGGTCAAGACAGATTGCCTAAAAAAGTGACGATGGACTAAAACTAAAGTGTGAGCATAAGTTAGGGTAACAGGAGATACATGGGGGTCTTATATCGTGGTCTGTTCTCGGAAGCAGGGCAACTGGCAGAAGGGTGAAGCTGGGTGGTAGCAGCTGGAAGGCACATGGAACCTAAGAGACTTATTCTCAGAGCCCAGGGAAGACATTAGAGAGCTTGCAGGAGAGGAGTGACTGAATCGGCTCTGCATGTCAGTGATTCCTCTGACAGCGGTGTGCGTCTCAGCACCAGAGGGAAGGGGTGTCAGTGTGAAAATGTGCATGAATTGCTGTGCTGGAAATGACTCACTGCCCTCTCCTCTCTGCAGGAAAATCCCACCAGTGCCCAGTATCATGTCCCCAGTCTCCACACGTGTTCCTCACCGGACAAACTCAGTGCCGACATCACAATGTGGGGTCAGCTGTCTGGCAGCAGCCACTGTGTCTACATCCCCAGTCCTACTCTCATCCACCTGCATCTCCCCAAACAGCAAATCGGTACCAGCTCATGGAACCACACTAAATGCACAGCCTGCCGCATCGGGAGCAATGGATCCCGTGTGTAGTATGCAATCCAGACAAGTGTCCTCCTCATCCTCGTCCCCTTCCACGCCCTCTGGCCTGTCCTCAGTGCCCTCCTCCCCCATGTCCAGGAAACCTCAGAAGTTGAAATCCAGCAAGTCTTTAAGGCCCAAGGAGTCTTCTGGTAATAGCACTAACTGTCACAACACCAGTAGCAGTACCAGTGGCACCTCAGGAAAGAAACGTAAAACCAGTTCTCCACTGTTAGTTCATTCTTCCTCCTCCTCCTCCTCTTCCTCTTCCTCCTCCTCTTCTTCTCATTCCGTGGAGTCTTTTAGGAAAAACTGTGTGGCTCACTCTGGGCCTCCTTACCCTTCCACGCTAACATCTTCCCATGGCATGGGCCTCAACTGCATGGCAAATAAAGCAAACTCGATGAGTGTCCGGCACGAGCAGTCAGGGAGGGGCGCCCCCGGAGGGAGCCCTGCTGAGTCCATCAAGAGGATGAGTGTGATGGTGAACAGTGGTGACTCTACACTTTCCCTCGGCCCATTAATCCACCAGTCCAGTGAACTGCCAGTCAACTCCCATGGCAGTTATTCACACTCACACACTCCTCTAGACAAACTCATAGGGAAGAAAAGAAAGTGCTCACCTGGCTCAAGTGGCATCAACAACAACAGCAGCAAACCCACAAAGGTTGCCAAATTGCCAGCCATGAACAACGTCCACGTGAAACACACGGGCACCAGCCCAGGGGCACAAGGACTGACGAACAGTTCCTTCCTTCATCAGGTAGGAAATGGACTGTAAGCCCTATGGGATGCCACCTCCTCTCCCTTGACATTTTTTGCCAACTTGGACATGTGTGGTTGGGTGGGTTGGTTTGCCTATAAACAGATGCCCAGCTCTCTAGTATCTTTTAAGAAAACGAAGAGTTCATGGCCATCTGAAGGTAAAACAGGCTTCTCTTTGCCAGGATTTCTCATGACGTGGAGAATGCCCCTGGGTCATGAAGCCGTAGCAGTGCATTTTAGCATATAGGGCTGTGGAAACCATCCTACCTGACAGCAGAATCCCTCCCCACAGCCAACGAGTGTAGCCCTGGGGGGACAATGTGCATCTGCGATGCTGTTCAGGGAGGAGGCAGGCTGTTTTCTAGAGAGCAAGAAGCAAGCTGGGCTAAAATCTAACTGATCTAGAAAGGGATAATCTAAATTTTAAAAAGAAAGCACTTTTAATATTTTTCCAGCAGAGAATTCTGGTTAACTCTCTTTGTATATTTTCCTCTCCCCGTTTTCCAGAGAGGCAGGAAAAACAGCATAAATATGGGTATAGCAGAAGACTAAAATCTCCCAAGTTAACAAATAAAAAAGAAATCAGACTGATGCATTTGTACAGAACTGGCTAAGTGGGTGTCAGATTCTTAATTAACCATGTTTTTCTCGCTTATGCTGTGTCTTTGTCTTTCTCCCACTCCTCCACCTGTTACTGTTTTCTCCTGACCCTCTCTCCTTAGCCATTTCTTTCAGCTCCCTTTGCTCTAACTTCCAGCTCATCTTTCATCTTGTTATTTCATTCATCAGGATATCTCCTCACCTTGCTTACGAACAGGAATTTCAGCAGCATCACCCCCAAGCCCTGATTTAAAATGTGAGGCTCTTTTTGTTTGTTTTTGTTCTTCCTCAACTTCAGAACATAATGCAAATGCCAGGTTAGGACTTCTTCAGAAAATACCAAGGAGTTTCTTATTGTGATATAATTTTCCTCCAACCCAGTGCCAAAGGTTGGAGGCCATAATTACCCATGAATTTTACTTACTTACTTCTTTATTTATAGAGAGGGGAAAGGAGAGAGAAAGAGAGGGAGAGAAACATCAATGTGTGGTTGCCTCTCACGTGCCCCTTTCTGGGGAACTGGCCCACCACCCAGGTGTGTGTCCTGACTGGGAATCGAACCAGCAACCCTTTGGTTCTCAGGTCAGCACTCAATCCACTGAGCCACACCAGCCAGGACTAACTATCCATGAATTTAAATAGCAGCTACTTAAATTCTTTTATTTGAGCCTCCAATACATATGGGCTCCTTGTTTATTTGACGCTTTGAGCAAGATCCTGGACAGGTGAAAATGTGCTTTTATTTCTTGGTTTGTAGTTACTGATTACATATAGTATATGATAAGCACAAAAATGCAGTGCAGACGCCACAAGAAATGATATACCCATCTGTTAAAACTCCCTTCTGAATGTACTTTCCTGATTCTACATGAACCCCAGAGGAGGGCTGTTCCATTGTGTAGTGATGCCTACTTGGTATGCTGAGTATAGTCTGCCTTCATATAGAAGTGGCAGCAGACTTCACGGCCCACAAGTAACAGAAAGGAGAGGAAGAGGCTGGGCAGGCACATTAAAGGATAACAGTGCGTGTGGAAAATTGGGAAGTGGAAGCACCATATGCTGCTCCCACAAACTTGTTACCATTTTCAAAGAAAAACTGCAGATCTAGACTCGGCATGAGAAATTTGGCCACTTTAAAGCCATGTATTTTTTTTATTGTTGTTGTGTTTTGTTTTATTAATCTAATATAGCCCACACAGGCTAAGTTTGGCTGGTGAGCTAACAGTTTCCCACCTCTGATTTCCATCATCAGGGGAGCTATGTCCCACTAGGACAAACAGCCTAAATTTCCATTCTTTTTTTAAAAAAATTAGTTTTAACAAGTTTGTATTTGAGAATGATGTCCTCTGTGGAGTGGAATACTTTTTATTATGTTGCACAAATCCTAGGGGGATCAATAGCCAGAAATCAGAGAGTCTGTGAACACCCAAAGAAGTGTTGTATGTTTTATATCTGTGTCATTTACTGCAAGAGGGATCCCATAGCTTTCACCCAAATCTCATAGGGACCCATGACCCCAAAATGCTTTAAAGAATGCTACTCTTAGAAAAGCAGAGACCTCAACTGACTGTTCCTCGCGAAGCTGACTTTAAAGCAGAGATAACTGACCTGGTTGAAGCTCCCTAAACAAGGGAGTGAATGCAGTGGGGCATGCTGGGAAGCCTACGAGATGGGGCTGGGTAGTCTGTTCATGGCCAGAGTTCCCTCTCCCTGAGCATGGGCACTGCTTTGGGTGTGAGTTTTCATACCTGCACGGGCTAGCCCATTGACCTTGCTCAGTTCTCAGTTGACAACCTGGAGTACCTTCAAGGAGGAAGAAAAGTAAGTAAATAAAACCAAAAGGCAAACATGTGACATTTTTCTCTAAGCCAGAAACCCAGCCTGAATCTCTTCTAGAGAATTTTTTAAAACTCAGGCTTGTGGAATGATTGTGCCTAAAGCAGTGAAGGCTGTTGAAAGCTAAGGCCAGATTCTTGAGCTGCATGCTCCTGGCATTACCCAGTCAATGAATACTTTAGAGGCATGTGGCCTTGGAATGTTCTTATTTAGCATCAAGGTAGCGCAGTACACAAGTGCTCACTTACCTTTTCATTGTTTCCCTACCCCCTCTTTTTTGAAAGCCAAAGACACGTCCCTGACAACTGAAAATAGCACGGGAAGGAATAATCTGGACACTTTTGATGACAAGTTACACCTCCACTCAGCACTCTGGACTCCAAGATGCCTTTGAGTCTGTTTTCCTAACCTCCTGTGGGCCTCAAGGATAGAGATCTGCCGGGCTGTTGTTTTAACGAAGATTTCCCTGAAGCTATGTCTGTAGCAGTGAGTATTTGTAAAGGACACTGGATCAAGTTCAGCCACCGAATTCTTCTATCAGTGTTACAGTGGTCTGGACTGCTTGTTACCAATCTGTGAGACATTTTTGTTGTGCTTTTTAACTTGCAGTATATCACAGAGCCACTCTTCAAGTAGATTGGCTGGGTGAAAGAGTGTTTTGGCAAGAACATTACTGTAGAATTTTCTCCCTTCCTCCCCTCTCCACCCCAGTTCTTTTTCCATTGTCTTCTGCCGGTCACACTCTAGCAGATAGGCACCTTAACTGGAGACACCTTCCAGAGGGGAAACAGGGTTCTACCCCAAGCGGCCCTCTGGAGAAGGGGATCTGTCATTAGGTTTTTATAGCAATGTTCCAGGAGTGGAATAGGTGTGTAAACGCAAGACACCATGACAGAATAGCTTGTGTTTTGCCCAGCATTTTGCAAGTAATTTGGGATAAGCTGTCAGAAGTTTCTAGCTTACAGACTGGTTTAAAGCTACTGATGCCCAGAGAGGAAGTATATACCATTTTTAGAGGCTTACTTTTCATGGTACAAAAGCAATTCTGAGTGATTTTAAAAGAAGAAAATGCAAACTAGTTTTGATAATAGAAAGCCAAAATTGGGAGGGGGGGTGTTGGATAAAATCACTATATGGGGAAATTTTTTTCTAAGATTTCCAAAGAGGTGGAATTTTTCTATCTTTTAAGTCTTCATGTTAAACAGTATGGCAGATTGGGCTGGTAGTCCTGCCCAGTCTTCTTTTTTCAAAATATTGCCTTTGTAAAGTGAAATCAGGATGCAGCAGAAACTGTCATTCACAAAGTCATTAATATACTTAAATGTTTCCAAGGCACTCTCAGTACTATACCCTCCATCTCCCCTCTGAATACTGTCCTGGACTAAGGGTAAATTTCCACTTTGAGCACTCTCAAATGTTATGTGTGTGCAGTCCCCCTCCTGCCATTACAGATGTTTATTTGGTTGCCACTGGGGTAGGGAGCAGGCACCTGGGGAGGGAGGGTAGCGAATTTGTACAAGTACCCATGCAGAGATGATGGATGCACATCTAGTATTTCCCCAACACACCCTCTTTTCTTGGGATTCATGCCAGCCATCTTTCTGAGGAGTTTTGGAGACTCTCCAGGATATTTTTTCTAGTACTCCACCCCAATAGAAGGAGCTTACTATGTTAAAACATCAATGCTTGAGAAGGAGTTTGGGGGATAACTTGGAGCTTTTTAACAGGTGATTCCACCAACCACAGCTCCTGAAATAAGAACCAGGCACATATTCTTAGAAGAACACACAGAGTTGCTGAACACAGGGTAAATTTCCCCGGGTTCTGGTGACGGCCCTGAGCAGGGCCTAGGCCGGGCCTAGGCAGGGCCAGTCAGTGCATCCTTTCTTCCCTGCAATTCTTGGGTTACTTCAGTTTCAGGGAATTTCAAGTCAACAACAGATAGAATGAATAAATACTTGGTTACCAGCCTAATAATGTGAATTGCTACAGAATTAATCTTAAATAAGAAAACAAAAACTTTATGCAGATACTTTAGCTATAAATTGATGTAAAATACTGATTTTTTTGTTTAAAGGGGAGAACAGTATCTTGTTCGCTTATTATGCAATCAATCAGTAAATGTTTTTAAAATGATACTCCTTGTAGGAGCGCTCAGTAAGGAGAGAGCCTGGGCGAGCCGGTTAAGTGTAATTAGGAGAAATCAGTCCAGTTGTTCCATCCTAGTAGAGGAAGAAGAGGAGGTAAAAGGGAATCAGAACGTACTTGGTTGATTCCTTGGTGACAAGTGCAATGGGGTGTGGGTAGAATTTATTTTCAGAGCCAAGGGGAATTGATGGTTATAAATAAAGTTGCTTTTAGCAATGGAATTTATAGACAGATCATGTTTTCCGAAAGATGTGAATAGGATCCACAATAGCAAGTTGGTTTAGAATAATGTAGCTATATCTAGATTAGCGGTGTTGATCATTTAATTTCTTAGATGGAGGTTTTAATTGGATTTTATTATGTCTCCCGGTAGTACAAAAAGCATCGGGATTAGGAAATTAGCCATTTTGGATTCTGCCTGCCACAAACAGAGATATTCTAAACAGTGCTATTAAAGTTTAGACTGTTGTTCAAATGTTTTATTTTCTCCTACAACTACTTTTTATTATGATGAACAATTAAGACCATTTAAAACATGGGAATACAAGTATTTTTTTTTAATTAAATTAACTTGCAAAAACCAAATTTGCAGTGGTTGGGTTGTTTCTAGACAGAATTTGGTATCAATTTAAAACCAAGATAATTTTTATATCCTTTCCAATAGAATTTCATGACAACTCCTGCAGTTTTCTTAACCTTAAAAAAAAAAAAGTGCTGCAATGATGAACAAAGAATTATACAAAACCTACTTTTGTACCTTTATTTTGGAATTTCTTGTTCTATTATAAATATGGAAGTATCCCTATCTCAGAAGACATATTTTGTTAAAAATGAATTGTACATATTTAAATATGTATTTTTGCACAGGTCTTTTTTTCTGATATCCTGTTTTGGTACAATTGAGATCATCTAGTATTTATTTATTAATTAATAAAAGTAAATACCTTTTTATAATTTGAAGTGGTTCACTGCCAAGCCAATAGTTCTAGAACCTGCCTCCTTTACAGTTTAAGGGATGCCTCTGTTCTGTGAAAGTCTTTTTGTCCCTTTAGCGTCTCGGGAGTGGATTCATACCGATGAAGTGGGCATTGCTTCTCCCTAGTTGCCTGGTTTCCCGATAGACAACATGTAACTAAGTGACACACTGCTTTTCTTTTGTTTTATGTGAGAGAGTGTATGTGTGTGCGCCTGTGTGTTTGTATGTTTACCCTCTGAGCGCATGTGTGTTGGTATGTGATGTGGTTTAAAACTAATGGAAAAAAACTGAAAGTGCCTGAACCTAGTTTTAAGCGTAGACAGATTCTCTTTAAAAAGACTTGAATGTTCAGTTGAACTTTTGGAGTTTGCTTTTTCCACCTAAATACTGTTTCTAAAAATTTAGAGGAGGAGTTGAAAACCACCAATGCTGGTAATTTTATATGGTATTTTAAACTTAAGGCTTTTTGGTTCATAGTAATTCAACTGGTGATGGATTGCCCAGTGGCAGCAAGAGTTACAAATCTTTTTGTCAGCCAGCAACTTACATGATGTGTTCGTTTTGTTATTCACTCATAAAATATTGAGTTTAAAATAGAATATTTAAATTTTTTATATTCCAAAAATATAATACAAAGTACCTCTGAGAACATTGAAAAAAAATGTATAATTTGAAAAATGTAATTTATAAAGGCAGCTGTCTTCCTGCAAGAGTTCCGTTGCCAAGAGATTTCTTAATATCTCTCATTCTGTCCTGGGGGGAAACGCTGGGCTTTGGAAAATGATTGTTAAAAATTTCATTGTTTAGAAGAAAGTAATGATTTTTACATTTTGTGCAAAACATTTTACATTTTCAGATCATTTAAATGAGCACTACATACTGTCAGTGTGAATGTAGGGGCTTGAAAGCATTTTGCTGTTTTTTTGTTTTGTTTTTTGTTTTTGTTTTTTTTTTTTGAGCTTGGTTATAAAAGCAATCTCCTGTGTTAAAAATGTGTGTGAATAGTTTGATAATTTGTACACTTAATCAAGAGCATCTCAGCTGGACTTTGTGTTGGCTGCTGTATAGAACATGAACAAATGTCAAGGGATAGAAAATTACTTTGGATATTTAAAACAGAAGAAATATATAGTCTATTTGTTTTGTAACAAGTTTCTGTAAATAAAATAATTTATACTATTTATAAGAAAAAGTTGTGCTTTGCTTTATGAGAAATTAGTATGTGGAACAAACATGTTACTAAATGGGCAATAAAATTAGGACTTCTCAATAAATAAGGTTGGCTGCATGAACTATTTTACATGTTTCTGCCTCATTGTGATACCAAAGCACCTGTCAATCTAATCTCTTACTCATTTTGTCATCAGATGTCCTTGTGAAGCACCTTCCTTTAGTTCCCCTTCTGTACAAGCCAGGTATTTCTAAGGGCCTAGGATGTTTCCATTCTTGGGCACAGATCTTTGCCTTGGATAAATTAATAACTGTAAATAGTGAACACTACTGCTTCTTGCCCTGCAGGTTTATCAACACAGGGGAGTTGATAGATTGAGAAACCCATTCTACTTGTACTTGTTTATATGTAAATTTGATGGCACATGGTCAGTTTTGCTTTAGAGGTAAGTTTTCATCCAGTGTTAGTCTGGCCTCTTCCCTGTTTTTACATACCTCTTTTATTGACAGTACAAATGCATTTTAGTAGTATTCGGAGCAGAACATATCTGTTATTCTAGAAATCTGGCCAGTTTTATCATTTGCAAAGAACTTATACTAATAAATTACAAATTACTTTCGTTGCTTAAGATAAAGGAAGCAACTAATTTATGTATTGGAAAAAATGTCCGTCCCTTACATGAAGGAGTTAGGCTGGCTTCAAGCTCAATCCCTGTGGACTTCCTGTTCCCTCCTAGACCGACTAAAATCCATTCCGAAGAAGCTCCCTGTGGATATAGCTCCTTACCCCTTGGGTGTCCCCCTTAAACTTCCTGGGAAAAGATTCAGCTACTCAATCTCTTACCCTCTTTTCTTGTATTTCCTTCCTTGCAGGTGACCTGACCATGGAAAGCAAGCAACTGTCCCAATTTAAGGAAGGGGGTTTGTAGTTTTGGTCTTGGTGTACTAGGAATTCACAGCAGAAAGGTAGGTGAGGTCATTCTAGGCAGATGAAGCAAACCAAAAAATGCAGAATAAGGAATACTTCTGAATGAAGGGTGCTGGGAGGAGCTGATAGGGTTGGAGAAGTGGGTGCCGGGTGGTACAGGGCTTTAAATGTCATGGGGCCTTCATCTTGGAAACATACTATATTTCTGCCTCTGATAGTTAGCCATATGCAACTATGAGAGCCTAGAGAGTGTCCTGATACAGGGCTTGTGTGGTAAAGGTACCAAAATTGGAAAATCAAAGAAGCACTTCGGTCTCTCCCTTCTTCTTGCATTTTGATTATCTTTTGCCTTAAATTTGTCTTTACCCTTGTCTCTCCCAAGTCCTAATCAAAAAGCCTCCCCTTAAACCAAGCTTAAGGTCCTTCCCCTTCTTACCACACTTTCTACTCTTGCAGTTGCCTTTTTCTGATAAACTCTTGCTCTTCTTACTAATGGAAGTTAATTAAACTAGTCTTTCACCTTGTAAATCTGTGATTTTCGGTGTCTGTTATTTTTCACAACCCAGGGACCAAAGCTGGCACTAGCAAAGTATCACTTACAGGGGAGGGTGAATCTGTCAGCCAAAAAAAAAAAAAAAAAAAAATTTCAGGTAGAAGGAGAGACTCAAACACTTAAAATTTAATACTTTTTAAAAATCCCCATCACATAAGACCCTTCAATAACGGTGGAGGACAGAATCTACAGGTAAGAAACTTAGGACAAATGTAAGTTACAAAGCTGATGTAATAATCTAGGTAAGAGTTACTAAGTTTCCAAAGGTGGTGACCATGGGGACGAACAGGACCGACTGCAGAGATCTTTTAAAGGTAGAACCAGTAGACCTTAAGGTCTAATCATGTTGAACATTAAAGGGAAGAGTGAGTCTCTGATAATATACAGATTTCTAGCTTGGCCAAACTGGTGGATGAGCTTTAAGTGAAATACATGATACAACTGACAGAGAAGAAAAAGACAAAATGAAATTGAGTTATGGGTGGGAAATTGAAGTTTAGTAACCAGTGACTATATGTACGGTCTGGATGGAGCGTAGAGGCAGGTTTGAAGCTGTAAAAGTATTAGAGGATTTGTCTTTCACTTCATGGAAATGAAGGAGTTCACAAAGGTAACTATTAGATTTGTCATATTATGTTAAAATAATGCTTACCTAATTGAGTCCCTATTGTACCAAGCATTTTACATGACGCTAGTAGGTAGTATTACCAGGCTGTGAATTCTGGTCTGTCATCTTTGGGTCTTAACCTTTTTAGAATTCTAGTCAATCTTTAATCAGGTAGGGACAAATCCCCACTTTGAAATAAAAAATCTGCAAATGCCCTGGCCGGGTGGCTAGGCTGTAGTGTTGTCCCAGACACCAAAAGGTTGTGGGTTCAATTCCTGGTCAGGGCACATACCTAGGTTGCAGTGCAATGTCTTCGGAGTGTGTATGGGAGGAAACCGACTGTTGTTTCTCTCTCTCCCCCCCCCCACCCCGGTCTCTGCTCCCCGCACCCCATCCCTACCCTGTTCCTTTCTCTAAAATCAATAAATATATCCTAAGGGGAGGATTTTTTTAAAAACCTGCAGTTTGAAAGGCAGAGGGAGCAGATCAAGAAGAGGAAGCTTTATATTCGCCTCTCCCCCGTAGGTTTTCCAAATCTGTTGTAGACTGACTAAAATGTTCTGAATGTACAAATTTAAAAGTAAGATCTCTTTATATGAAGAAACTAATGGCATTCTTAACTAGTGAAGAATTATGGCTTAAAGCCTATTCTTTTGAATCCGAAACTTGGTCCAAGAAAGCATATTCTGATTGTAACAACTAACCAGTCAATCCTGAGTTCCACTTACAAAACCCCTGCACTGTTGGCTTTATGTTTCCACTTCCTTCCCTGAGAAAAGGACACTGTGTGGTCCAAGCTGTGGAGCTCAGGCTTATGTCTTCCCCCTAACGCGTAATATTCCTTCTTCTGTGCAATTGAATTGCTGCTTGATGAGCAGAAGTCAAGTTCAGGGCTCATCTATATCAGTCATTCACAAGAAAATGTTTTTTTTTCCCCTGTCAACAGATTCTGAGAATCGCATGAAAGACGTTATGGATTCTCTCTGGCACAGGCATGTAACAGAGAGAAATGCTCCGCCTCTGACTTCCTTGTTCAAGTCTGCTTCTTTCCCACGGCCTTCAGGTTGATAGCTCCTGCTTAGTCTCTCATATAAACAGGCTAATCATTCTGCTTGTGGCTTGAGCTTTACAGAAACAGTCCTTTACCAGAAAGTGCCTCTCCTAAAGAGGTAAGGGAAGTATTTTAATCAAAGATTTGCAGGAACATTGTGATGGGACTCACATCCACTAGAGTCAGTAGACCAAGAACAAAGTTTCACAATCTTGCTTAGAACCCCTGCTGGTGCCCAGATGCCTGTGGTCATCAGTTACCTCTTGCCCCTCCCCTTCACCCCTTCATTAACATAAAAGAAACCTAAGTTCTGTATCTTCTTAACATGATTCTTTAGGACCCTAGTCCTCCATCTTCTTGGCTCTCTGGCTTTCTGAATAAAGTCACTTTCCCTTCCCCAGCACATTGTCATTCACAGGCACGGGCACACATACCACATTTTATATTCCATTTCCAGGATTTCACAAACTTGAAGCCAAGAGGGGAAAGCCCAAGATGAAACCCTGAAGAAGAGAGTATTTGCGTGAAGACAGAGAACAACTATAAAGAACAACTATAAACCGTATCAAGGATTAATTCAAGGAAAAATTACGTCAGGGATGGAGTTAAGATGTTTTAGTTAGAAGTAGAGGTAGGTTGACACCATCATAACTATGAACCCATCAGCCCACCTAGGTAATAAGTTCAGTTTTGTTTTTGTCCTACTTTTTTCCCCGGGATACTTGGAAGAGCAGATATTGATTGAACTGAAAAATTACAAGAACTTACGTAGGAAGATTGCCAAAAAATTAGAGTATGTGTGAGGGTGTGGCTAAGTGATTGAGTGATGGCCTAACATGGGTGTTCAAGGAGCGGACAGGAAACTGCCATGTAGAATCTAGACAGGCTCTCAAGACAAGTCGTATGATCCTTCCAGGTAACTTGTGTATGATTAGACAAGTCAAGTGATTTGTTCGAGGTCACAGAGCAAAGTCCATGTTCAATTCAATATGGCTGGTATTGAAGAGGGGCTAACGTGAGGCAGATCAGGCACCAGCGTTATGACAGTGGCATAGCACTTTCAGGAACAGGTCAAAGGGACAGAAGAGAGTACAGAGTCCAAGTGGAATTCCAAGCTTCATTTTCAAAAATAAAGCTTTGTGAATCCTGGGTCATGGGTGAGACTGCCAGTGGATAAAGCAGCCTGAAAGGAAGAGAGCACTGGAGTTAAGGCTAAAGAACTGACACTAGGGTCTTAGTCTACAGGTTGTCCATTTTAAATCAGGGTTCAGAGAAGGATAGGGCCAGTTGCTCAGGCCTGGAATGAGCGGGATGGGCTAACTCGAAGGCAGTGAGCACAGTGAGTTGGTGGTGGTGCTGGGTGGTGAGCAGCTTCAAGGAGAAGGCATTTTGAATGGGGGTGGAAGCACCATGACCAGGAAAGGGAGCGAGGTACTAGGAAACTGTGCACTTTCTCTTGGCCCAAAGTTCCTGAGGTGTGTATGAATGAGTAGTCTCTAACCCAGAGGGTTTTGAGAAAAGCAGAGTCCTCAAAAACCAAACATCTAGTTTTATCAGCATTAATACTCTGGTAATTGCAGATGCTTGGGAAGAGGTTTCTGATAACCTCTGAGAAGGTTCGCAAGATTGTCAGGACACCACCTACTGGCAGCCTTGGTTAAGTGGTCACTTTCCCAAGGCAGTCTCAGATTTGTCATATATGATAGCTGAATTGAAGGCTCATCATTCTTTGGCAAATTGTCCCTTTTATTTTTTACATCCACTCTGTACAAGGAAACTTACGCCATTATAAGAGATTTCTGATGGTAAGGGCAAACGTCCCCCTTGACCATGTACTTCAAGATTACAGTAGCCTGGACCAAACTGCTGCAAATTCTTGCTATCTTTTGTAGGTCTTCAGAAACACAAGAGTAGTGTAACCCTGTGGCTCTGTGGCATTGCAATCCAAACCAAGACTATTAGAGCTTTTCCTGTTTTCCAGATACGGATTCAACTTCACTCCATTGCCACCAGCCAGGTATGAGGTTTGTTACTAACAACTCTAAGTCTGATAGCATTAAGTGAGGGATTATCACAGCCCTCGCCCCTCCTCTTTTTCCCATAATCATGGGAACAGATATTTCAAGTATCAGCTATTA